GGGCGAGGGGGATTATACTCCAACGTCTTTGTAACTTTTTTAAAAAGATGGTTTCGAATCAGTTAATTACTAGTTTAAACATCAGACTAAACCCTTACACGCCCGGTCTTTATTTGCTGTGGTGATGGGATGGTAAACGAAGAATGTAGTTGAAATGTTTGGTTTCAATCCTCAGACAATGTCAAAGTTTTGAGCCAATGATTTCTCTCTCTCTCTCTCTCTCTCTCTCTCTCTCACACACACACACACACACACACACACACACACACACACACACACCATTAATTTTCGTTAGCCCAGCTGACGAGAAAGGAACAGTCTGAGACTGCAACCCATTTGATTTCCCAGGCTCACCCCGTGGACCGTGCAAAAAGTGGGGTCTCGGCAGAGAAACAGGGGGCACAAACAAGAGGTATGGAGCAGTCTAAATTAAGACGGAGCTTAACTAAGAGAACTATGGAACTCAAAGGAAGAAAGGAAAGCCGGCGCGGGGCGGGGGGTGGGGGCAGATAGAAAAAAAGAAAAGAGCAGTTTTGCATTTTCAGTCCTCGCACTCCGTTCCAGAATTCCGCAATGACTGCCAAAAGCAACGGCCTTGGAACCAATTAACCATCACCCGCGATCTTCCGCTTCGACTCCCAAGAGGGACCTCGTTCCACCTCAGTTTTGACTCTACTCCAGAGAGACACGGTAAAGGGCGAACGCACTGCGAGTGAGGAAATCGGAGACCCTGGGGGAGCAGGGCGAGCTGGTTCGGGGCAAACTCCAAGGAAGCGGCACGAGAGAGTGCTGGCGGCGCCGGATGCTCAGCGCCTGCCCAGCTTGGAGACCCGATCCTGATCCCGGTCCTCGCCCGCCCAGCCGGGAGACCCCTCCCCGCCGCTCTGCCGCCCTGGCCCCCGCCCCTGACCTGTTCGCGCGAGGTCCCGGTGCGCAGCGCGCCGCCTCCATATCCGCCCGGCCGGTGGCATCAGAGTCCAGACCCCGAGTTGCGGCCACGGGGCTGGAGAGGATGGAGGAGGTCGGGCCCAGCCCCTGGCAACCACACCCCGCACTGTCGCCGACGCCCATTGGTCCAGTGCCCGTGGCTCCCTTCTCACTGGTTAATGGCGCCAGCCGCGATGCTGGAGGGTTTCCAGGGGGCGGGAGACACCGGGAGGCGAAGGCGCGTGCGCCGGAGCGGGGTGCACCCCCCCAACACACACACCACCCCCGCACCCAGGGCTGGGACCCAGCTGACCCTCGGGGTGTCTCCAGCTGCTCCATTCAGCGGCCGCCTCCCACAGAGCCACTCCCAGCACCGCGCTGCAGCGATGAGAACACCCAGAGTGGCTGCCAGGGTTGTGGTCCAGGGGTTTGTGAACTTCTGCCACTAGAAGCCTCGAAGTCGGACCGGCTCCGGGATGCCCTTCTACACCAGCCCTCATCTAAACGACTGAGGAACCTCTACGTGGGGACTGTCTTCGGAAATCCTTATCCCTCTGCAGTGAATCATGCCTCCAGGCATCAGTTCCTGTCTGGTGCTGGTCCCTATAGGACTTTCTGGTCAGACCTACTACAAGTAGACTTAGTAAGGCCGAAGTTACCACATTGATATTGAATCCAAATTTTCACTTTAAAATTAAAAAAAAAAGTATTTTATTTAGAGACAAGATCTCACTATAGACTGCCTCTGCCCCCTAGTGATGGAATTACAGGCATGCGTCACCAAGTCCCAGGCCATTATTTTATGTGTGCGGATGTTTTGCCTACATGTATGTCTGCATACCATATGCATCCCTGGTGGCCAAGGAGGTCAGAACCTGTGCCTTCTGGACATCTGAGACTCATAACCACTGAGCCACCTCTCCAGGCCCCGGAAATTAACTTTTGAAATCTAGGAAATACGGTACATAAATAGACCAGCAGGAGAACAGAACATTGCACTCACTTAGCCCCCTCCCTGGATTGCTTCATTTTTTTGCACTTCAAATTCTCACCCATGGGGGCTGGAGAGATGGCTCAGTGGTTAAGAGCACTTTACTACCCTTCCAGAGGTTCTGAGTTCAATTCCCAGCTACCATATGGTGACTCACAACCATAGTGGGATCTGATGCCTCTGATTCTATACATGAAGACAGAGCACACATATACATGAATAAATAAATCCAAAAAACCCAAGGAGTAATATATAAAAAAATTCTCACCCATATAAAGGGTAGCATAAGGTCTGCTTGGCCTAGCAGCGGCTGGGTGTTAAATGAGAAGAGCTGAAAGAGACGCTATATGTATGGGCAATAGGACCACTGAGGCACTAGGTAGCTGAAAGAGACGCTATGTGTATGGGCAATAGGACCACTGAGGCACTTGTTAGTAGAGGTAATGTTCTACTTTATGTACACAAAGTTACTATAAGAATCCATTCCCCAGCCTGGCAGTGGTGGCACATGTCTTTAATTCCAGCATTTGGGAGGCAGGTGGATCTCTGTGAGGCCAGCCTGGTCTACAGAGTGAGTTCCAGGACAGCCAGGGCTACACAGAGAAACTGTCTCAAAACACAAAAACAGACAAAAACAACAACAAAAAGAATCCACTGCCTCACCATATGACTATAATAATGGCTTTTTTTTTTTGGTATTTTTTTCAAGACAAGGTTTCTCTGTAGCTTTGGTGCCTGTCCTAGAACTCACTCTGTAGACCAGGCTAGAATCGAACTCACAGAGTTCCACCTGTCTCTGCCTTCCAAGTGCTGGGATTAAATGCGTGCGCCACCACTGCCTGGCTGGCATATTTTTTCACTATAAACGCAATCTCAAAACACAAACCTCCCCATCTGTTTCCTATCTCCCTTGACCCCACTGCATTCATGAACAAGGGTTGTGGCCCTTTGGGCAGAAAAGTCAAAGCTGTAAAGACATTTAAATGCCAACCACTAAAAACTAGAGTTCTCTCTGATTTTCTCCATCACTGGATGCTGTCTTTGAGTCTCATGATCAGCAACAAAAAGTACAGAATGAATTGAGTTTGGGACAAAAGACTATCAGCACAGAACTTTTATAGACGGGTCACACCGCTGCATTACTGACAAAAGCGGGGTCCTCTAGACGCGTGGAGCAGCCGTTTATTTACAAACATCATAAACAGTGCAAGATACTCTAGAGGTTCAAACAGTTACTATGAGAAAAATATCAACAGTTCATGACACTAAATCCAACTCTTCCTGATATGAGGTGGCTTAACCAGCAAATCTAGGAACCGAATTCCAGCTCCAGGCCTCCAGCTCAGTCCTCCCCTCTCTGGTGTTCACTCCAAGTCACCCTTTCACGCGGAGGAGTGACGCTGCAGTGACGGTGATCAGCAGCTCTGAGACGACGCCTGTGACATGTCACATCTTCACAAGGAACTGGCTCTTGTCCAGCTTTCCTCTCTCCTTGAGGTAGGCAAACAGGTGCCTTCTGCGCCTCCACGTGACCTTTAACCCATACTTCTCCTCAGGGGTGTCCTTGACCAGAACAGGTCCAGGCTCTGGGCTGTTGGGAGTTCCAGGGCCCAGGATGCAGCCTGGAAGACAGTTTTCCTTCTGATCGGGGGAAGCGGGTTCTTCTCTCACAGACGACCCCGGGGTCTGGATATCAGGGGGTATGAACACATGAGGTAAGCTTTGAGGTGCCTGCACTGACAGCTCCCCACAGCTCTGGGGACTGAGCAGGGGCACTAAAGGCCTTCTGGGGGTGTCCTTTGCTGACTGGCAGGGCTCTTCTCTGTTCAAGGATATCACTGTCTCTGAACTGGAAGACCGTGGACTCTCAAAGGTTAGCCGTGGGAACTTGCAGGTAGATCTTCGTGTCAACTGTTTTGCCTGGTCTTGGGGGCGATGTTTCCGGTGTGCTGGAAACTGGCTTTCGGCTGTTGTATCAAACTGAGGTAAGACCCGTGCATAAAAAGACAAAAATGGCGGCAGGTCAACTACCAAAGAAACTCTATCCAATGAGCAGAATCGTGAGGATTCGCTATAGTAAAGGACCCCAGACCAACCAGCTATGTGAAGCACTAATAAGAAAACAGCTTTGGTTTCTCTGTCCCTCTGCCTTTCAGACTGATAATGAGAAAAAGAGGAGACAAGGCATTTCTCATCACCACGCGACACTGCTATGGCTATTTAACTGTCTGTCGTTAAACTTCACAAGAGCAGGGCTGGAAGGAGCCTTGGGGGTTGAACCCTCTCCCCACACTTAGCATGCGCAGTTCAGTTCTCAGCAGAACAAAGCCCTCAATAGGGTAGGGACCCACAGACTCGTCCCCAACATGCAGCTGGAGAGATGGCTCAGTGGTTAAGAGCACAGGCTGCTCTTCCAGAGGTCCTGAGTTCAATTCCCAGCAACCACATGGTGGTTCACAACCATCAGTAATGAGATCTGGCGCCCTCTTCTGGCGCGCGGGCATACATGGAGACAGAATATAAATAGATAAATAAATCTTAAAAAAAGAAATAATAAGCTTTAAAAAAAGTCTCAGCAAACAGTGAATGGCAGCTACAAGAACTAGGAAGTGTGGCAGTGTTCAGAAAAGGATCTAGTACAGCATGTTTATCCAATCAATGCTTATGGATTCCCCTCCCCCCGTTTTAGACAATCTTACCATGTAGTCCAGGTTGGCCTTCTGCCTCAGCTTCCCAAATGCTAGGATTACAGGTGTGCCTCATAATATCATTTTTGTAGGATTTTCTCCCTAACGTTCAGTCCATTCAATCACTGAATACCTAGTACTTTCCATGTGAGTTACAGGAAATAATCTCATTTAGAAGCTTGCCATTTTCTAGGTCCTTCACCCAGCTACTGGGCAGTGAAACAGTCACTCAGAACTTTTTCAGAAGACCCTGGCAGGGAAGACTCCAGTTACATATAACATGTATTTTGATCCGAACTAAGAAAATTAGATAGGTCAGGTTACCACAACCAGAAAGAGTAACTGCTTCCCTGTCCCTGCTCCACAAGGATTAAGAGTCAGTATTCTGAAAAGCCTAACGCGGTAAAAGTCAAAGGACCTACCCAGGAAGTGATGGTGCCCTGATCAATGGGCTTGCTGGGCACCCGTACAGTGTGGGTAATGGGCCGCTGGAGAGACTCATGGTGTTTGGGGCCCTCCAGTGGCTGATGGTGGAATTGCAGCTGGGCTTTGCGTGACTGTCTTTGCTGTCTCTTTTTGGGAGGCATCAACAGGTAAAGGAAGAGCAATTTGTAACCACATGATGCAGGCTGCCTTCCTGGTCTGGGCTGGGGTCCAGTTGCAAACCATGCCTGTAGAGAAGAAACAAAAGCTGGGAGAAAATCTTGTGGGTGAGTCCCCTATCCTTCATGACATGTGCTGATCAATCTACCAAAAACTACCATTCAGTCCTCAGGTTGGGGGGAAAATGCAGCTTCCTATAGCACCTCACAAAACACATTATCTCAACAACACTCATTCAGTAAACACCTGCTGAACTCACTTTATGAGTGCCATGCTGAGCACTAGGAATTAAAGATGGACAAGTACTTATCAGGTCACTGAGCTCTGAGTACCCCTGCAGCGAGAAAGAGGTCCCTGGTTTCGAGGAGCCGGGATTGCAGCGGAGAGGTACAGCATTTGCCTAAAATGCATAAAGCCAAGTTTAACCCCCTGTACTGCAAAAAAGAAAAAGTGGAAAGGAAGGAAAGGAACTGAGAATTTAACAGAAGGAAACAATTACACTTCAGTATAATGGTTTGCTTCAACTCATTTCAGAGAAGACTTTCTGGGTGGGAAGACACCTAACCTGAAATAAAGAGTTGGGAGAAGCAAAAAGCAGAAAGGTCACTGAAGTCTGAGGCGCACCACATGCAACGATGGTTATAGCTGGGCGTGGCAGGACACACTTATTATCCCAACAGAGTTGGGATAGATGAAGTTCAAGTCTAGCCTGAGCTACACTCGAAAACCTTGTCTCAAAAGCCAAACCAGGCGTTGGTGGCCTTTAATCCCAGCACTCAGGAGGCAGAGGTAAGCGGATCTCTGTGAGTTTGAGGTCTTCC